GAATACAAACATTTAATATTACACAAGCTTTTAAAACTGAGTTGATATCTGCAGCATATTTGTCATTTGCAGCAGGTTCCATAAGACGCCGTTCACTATAAAACAGTCAGGAATCATTGGCTGCTGAGCTGGTGGATCCTCTGCGCTTTATTCCTAAAATGATGATAGATGGAGTTACTTCTCCTGCTGTTTATTAGAAAATCACAGTGTTTGCTCTTTATTCTGTTTCTAAAAATCTCACCTTATGCGATCGACACAGTTCATCACCCAGTTCAGAGCTGGATTGGCGCATGCTTTCCCCTTCTTTGTGTGGAAACTACATTAAAATAAAGCAATATGTAAATATATTTACACCCACAGTAAACACTAATGTCGTGTCAAGTTTTTTAAAAAAATTTTTTATCTTTAACCTCCTAGGACCTGGGATCCACATATGTGGACATCACATTTTTGGTTGTCTACACCAAAATACAAAATTTTGCCCTACAAGGGCCTGATATCCACTTACGAGGACATTATACTGCCTCTCTTTTATCAAAATTTAAAACGAATATCCTCATATGTGGCTCTCATTTTTCTTGGAAACAAAAATCAGGTTAAAAAAAAATCTGGTGATTCTTTGTTTTTACATTCATCAGGTCCCAATCAGCCCAAATATCAAAGAGAAATTAAAAAAGCATGCCGTGGAAGAGTTCAGGTCTTAGGAGGTTAAAGCAGTTTGTTAAAGTAATTGTAATGATGCTCACATGATGGCATTGATGGGACACATCTCTGTGACAGTCTGGACTGAGTACCCCTTGATGGCTGAACATGGTAATCTGCCTGTCATGTACCTTCGACAGCAGTAACGATAAGCTGTGAAAGAAGGAAAGAAAACGTGTTTATTTAAAATATGTGTCTACCACATCCAGGTAGTGGAGATGCTTATGTGTAAATGTGATTAAACAGAAAAAAAATCAAAGAAAATAAGACACGAAAGCCACAAATACAAACCTGCTGATGTGTTTGCAGTCAGACAAACAGTAAGTGCGATCACCACCACAGCTCGGATTGGCAGCATGTCTTCTTAGTTTGTGTTGGCAGCAGTGACTCTGATGATGAAACTGTCTCGCCTTTTCAGGTGGAGTCAGAGAGGTTGTGCTGGTAAAACTGCTAATCTCAGCAGCCTCATTTATACCTCA